CAATTCCATAAGAGAGGAGGTATAATGAGGTGTGTACATTCTCCTCTTCCATCATGGCCTGAAGTTTAGGTTTTTCAGGCTTCCCTTGGCCTAGAGGAGGTCTGTTCAGTCGGTTGTTGGGCTTAGAATTTTATTTTTGTTTTACATTCTTCCCCTTCAGGCCAAGATTTGCCAGAAGCAATATTGATAGCTACACTTTTATTTTGTCCCATATTATTGCCAAAGTGGTGTAACTACATGCCGTGGGTTCATCTTGTCCCTCGGTGGGACCCCTATGACCGAGGGACTTAGAACCAAAAGACTTAGAGCCAATTTAAACATTGTAGGCCAGACGGAATGGAAGTGGGCAGGAATTCATTAACCTCAAAATCTTTTAAGCATTGTGAGAGCCAAAAGCCAAAAGGCAAGGTTATAAAGTTGACTTATCTATAATTCTACACATGTAGGTGGTAATCTTGGTCTTAGCTGCAGAATTGTAGCCATTAGCAATGTAAAACATAAGCATTTTGATAAGACCATTAAGCTGAAAATTTTAGAGACTTTTGTTGTTCCTCAGTGCTATTTGTGGTCCTTTTAGTAATTTGCCCTATGGCTGAAACATTTTTTAAAATATCTGTCTGCATAAATCCCATAACCAGCAATAACTACATCCAGAAGTCTTTGTCATCAGATATCTTGAAATCTTCCAAGTAATTACCTTTAACTTATAGAAAACAGGAAATTCTTTATGGCTGGGATGGACAGAAAGGTGTCATGTAATGGCAAAGGAGGGCTGTGGGAACCTGTCCTTGATTTGGAGGAGTTGAATGAATTCCATCTCTCATAAATTGGCCCTTATAATTTCACATGCCCACCTCTTCTGTGATAGTCCCTGGGCCTAGAGGGAAGGTGCATTGTCAATGAAAATAGAATGGTGGGAAACTATGGGGGGGAGGGGGATGGGATTAACAGTAGCAAATATCTGTCGGGGGATGGGAAAACACTTCTTATCTACAGGGTGCCTGAATGAAACGTCATTGTACACCTAACCCTTAACTGTACCCCACAAAACCATAATAAAAAATACTGATTAATGAAAAAAAAAAAAAGAAAAGAAAATAGAATGGCCCAGTGGGATTCTAAGTAGTTTTTAGAACTGGAAATATCAGGCAAAATTATCCAATTTTGTAAGCCAATAAATAGCTCAAAAAGAAAGGGCTTTAAAAAAACAAAAAACAAAAAACAAAGAATTGGCAACTTTTTAAGCAAAAGGGCATAAGCCGTGCCTTGTTCTGACAATGACAAGAAAAAGAGAGAGCTAAACATTGAATCATCTAGTATAAAGGTAAAGAACAGATTTATATTAATGTAGATAATGTAGATAAAGGCAAAATTATTCTATTAGTATGTATGACTTTATATACAGGCCTGGTTCAGTCTCACATGAGAGCAGTTTGTTTTGGTTGTCATCTTTTCCCCCGGTTTGAAGATGAGGCTTTGGTTAATTTGAGCTCGGTCACAGAAACCACCATTGACATTTAAGATTCAGTAGGAGTTGGTGCCCCTTTTTAGATGAGCTAAGTATACTCGAGTCAAAACCCTGCAACTTAACAGCATAAGAATTTGTTACCAGCCGGGCTCGGTAGCTCAGCCTGTAATCCCAGCGCTTTGGGAGGCTGAGGTGAGTGGATTGCCTGAGCCGACGGATTCGAGACCCGCCTGATGCAACTTGGAGAGCCCTCATCTCTACAATAATTAAAAAAATCAGCCGGGCGTGGTAGCGCGTGCCTGTAGTTCCGGCTACTCGGAAGGCTGAGGCGGAAGGATCGCTGGAGCCCAGCAGGTCAAGGCTGTGGTGACCGGGAGTGACCACTGCACTCCAGTCTGGGTGACGGAGTGAGACTCCAACTCGAAAAAGAAACAAAGAATTCGTTACCAATTTTTGATAAAGATCTTTTTTAATGGGGCTGAACAGAGCCTTTTAACTGATATCTAAATATCAGGCTGGAGGTGGTGAAGTTTATGACTTAATTTAAAACTGCAAAATGATTCTACAACCTTGCAGTGATTAATCTTTATCATTTTGATAAGCCCTCAGCATTTGATTTTAAGGATGTTTGTTAAAGATGTTAACTTTAACCTGGACCAGTGGTGGTCCCTGGTGTCATAACTAGGCAGGGTTGCAAAATCTGCTTCCTTTCCTAAACAAAGCCTTTTGGTGAAGACTTCCACTTCCAGGAAGATGGAATGGATGTACTTTTCCCCATTCTTCCCACAAAGTACAAATAAAAATGCTGGACAGTATATACATTGCATACATTATATACTCTTAAAAGAAGAAGAGGAAGAAGGGGAAGGAGAAGGGGGAAAAGGAGAGGGAGAAGGAGAAGGAGAAGAATAAGAATTAAGGGCAGAGAGAAGAAGAAAGACTGAGGACCTCAGGATACAAGGAGCAACAATAGTGGTGAGTTCTCTGGGTTTTCTTTTTGTCTCATTTATCTCAGACTTTGGGCTAAATAACCTAACAATCAAGAAAGGATAAGATGCAGTTTTTTAAAAATGCTGTAAGAAAAGCCTGCTCTCAGGCTCAGTGGCTCAGCCTATAATCCCACGCCTTTGGGAGGCCGAGGCGAGTGGATTGCCTGAGCTCACGGGTTCGAGACCCGCCTGGGCAACTTGGCGAGACCTCATCTCTACAATAAATCAAAATGAGCCAGGTGTGGTAGTACGCGCCTGTATTTCTGGTTCCTTGGAAGGCTGAGGCAGAAGGATCGCCGGAGCCCAGCAGGTCAAGGCTGCGGTGGCCCCGAGCGGCCACTGCACTCCAGTCTGGGCGACAGAGTGAGACTCCAACTCAAAAAAAAAATAAAATAAAAGCCTGCTCTCTCTAGCCAAAGGACCAGAAAAGAGGAGGCCTATAAGACAGAAGTTTTAAAAATAACTGCTCTTCACCAACCAAATAACACAGGAAAACTGGTCTCAACTCCCACCAGCAGAGGCCTAGAGAGATATCTAGACTTCACCCTAATTAAACTATAAGAAGTGCTCTATGATGATCTGGTTGGAAAGAGCTGATCACAAAGGAAAAGTAACGCTGACGCTTAAACAGAAATTCCAGAGAATGGTATCATTCTAATGTCATGGTCAATTTGATCAGTGTTAGGTTTGTCACTGCTACCACTGCAATAGTAAATGTGGAGTTCTGTGTCACAATATGCTAGCAAATATAAAGAAGGTACAAAAAATAGAAAAAGATACATAATGGTACTTAAATATGAGTAAAAATCACTGTATACATCAAAATAGCCATCCTATACCAGACAATAACAGAATATTGAAAGCATAGAATCTGGAATTAGTTTGCCTTGGTTCAAATGACAACACCATGTTCTATCAGCTGTGTGTTTTTGTGAAATCTATTTAACTTATCTCTTTCTATGAAACGTATCTCTTTAGCCCCACCATCTAATAATAACTATTAACATTATAATGTATTTCCTTTCTAGATCTTATTGTATTTTGAGGTTACCATTTAAAAATATTTCCATTTACACGCAATTTTAGATTTTTTATTTACTATTAAATCATTTAAAATATAAAAAAAAAAAAGAAGTGCTCTTACCTTTCACCAGGGTGGTGTCAGAGGAGGCCTAATGAAAAATGAGAAATTTCATTGCAGGTCAGCAGTAATGAGGGCCCCTGTATGCTGGTATCAATTCAAGCCACATGGGAAGGCACATAGATGACATTATTGTCTACATAGAACATTTCAAGCAAGCTACAAAAAATCTCCTAGAACTAATAAATTAGTTCAGCAAGGTCACAGGATAAGATCAATATACAAATATCAATTATATTCCTCTATACTAGCATTAAATATATAGACACAAAAAATGAAAAAAGCAATACCATTCAGAATCTTGCAAAAAATGAAAATACTTAAACATAAATCCACAAAACATGTACAGAACTTGCTTGCTGAAAACTACAAAACACTGATAAAAGAAATCAAAGATGTAAATAAATGGAGAAACATATGGACGTTGAATGGAAGATTCAACACAGTAAAGATGTCAATTTTCCCCAAAATCATGTATAGGTTTAATGCAAAATCTCAGCAAGCTTATTCTAAAATTTATATGGAAAGACAGAGGAACTAAAATAGATGAAACAATTTTTTTAAAAGTGGGAGGAATCAGTCAACCTGATTTCAGGCCTTACTATGTAACTACAGTAATCAAGACACTGTGGTATTAGCGGAGGGATGAACACACTGATCAATGAACAAAATAGAGAAGTCAGAACTAGACCCACACAAACATGCGCAGCTGATTATCGACAAAGGTGCAAATGCAATCCAACATAGGAAAGATTGCCTTTTCAGCAAATGGTGCTGGAACAAATGGACTTCTATAGGCCCAAAAGATAAAATAACTCAAAATGGATAATGGATTTAAATGTAAAACTAAAAGACTTTTTAAAAAAAAACAGGGAAAATCTTTAGCTTCCAGGGCTAGGTAAAAGTTCTTAGACTTGACACCAAAAGCACAATCCATAAGAGGAAAAATTGGTACACTGGACTTCATCAAAATAAAAACTTTTGCTCTGTGAAAGGCTCTGTTAAGACAATGTAAAGACCAGATACAGCCTGGAAGAAAGTATTACAAACCACATATCCAACAAAGGATTAGTATCTAGAATATATAAGGAACTCTCAAACTTAACAGTAGAAAAACAATCCAATTATAAAATGGACAAATACCATTATTCTAAGTGACCTAACTCAAAAACAGAAAACACGAACACTACACGTTCTCACTTATGTGTGGAAGATAAATGAACACACCCCCGCCCCACGAACACTACACGTTCTCACTTATGTGTGGAAGATAAATGAACACACCCCCGCCCCCATTCCCCACTCTTGGCCGCTGGGCCTCCCCTGTTCTAGGCTGAGAGGGAGGAGATAGCTGCCCTGGAGCCTCCGCCTCTGCTGCTGGGACTCCCGCGTGGCCGCTGACCCGCTTCCAGGGACCCGCGCGGAAGCCAAACCCCTGGGCCATCCTGCCGCGTACTCGTTGGGCTCGTGGATGTCGTTGTCCCGCAGTCTGCCACCAGCCTCGCGGTCACCGTCCTCCCTCAGCTCCCCTGCGCGGCTCCAAGGTGGCTTTTCTTTAAAAAGGCAAACATGCTTCCTAAAACAGCAATTCTACCTCTTGGGCATCTATCCCAGAGAAGTGAAAACAGGTTCACACAAAACACTGTGCGTGAATGTTCGTAGCAGCTTTATTCATAATAACCCCAAACTGAAATTAGCCCAAATGTTCTTCAAGAAGTGAAGGGTTATGCAAACTGTGATATATCCATGCTATGGACTACTACTCAGCAGTTTTTTAAAAATGAAATACTGATACGTGCAACAACCTGGATGAGTCTCCAGAAAATTATGCTGAGTGTAAAAGGCCAATTCCAAAAGGATACATAGTATATGATTCTATTTATCTAACATTCTTGAAATGACAAAATTATAGAAATGGAGAACAAATTAATGGTTGCCGGGGGTTAAGGAGGCGGTTGGGGTGGGAGGAAAGTAGGTGTGGCTAAAAAGGACAACAAGAGAGATCCTCATAGTGATGGAATGTTCTGAGTTTTGATTATATTAACAACAGTGTCCTAGTTGTGATAGTGTACTATAGTTTTGCAAGATTTTATCATTGGGGGAAACTGGGTCAAGAGTCCATGGGATCTCTCAGCATTATTTCTTACAACTGTATGTGAACCTATCTCAAAATTAAAAGTTTAATTTAAAAAATCTTTCTGTTTCTCTGTTTATCTCCATCTCTTGGGCCGTGCCATAGTAATCCTTGTTGAGGTGTCAGTGTGTAGTAAAGGCACTGATATTATCCCATCTGTCACTCACATCTCTTATGGGAGCTTCCTGGAAATTGTAGAAGGCCAACTTTTTGTAGAAGAAAGTGCCTTGAATTTGCAATCGGGATATCTTGAGACCTGGTCTTAATATGCTTTGTGACCTTGGACAAATTGCTAGCCTTTTCGAGATTCCATCTCATCACCTGTAAAACAACAGCAGCAAGAACTTTGAGGGTTAAATGAAAACGCTTGGTATATTGTAAAGCAGTATACAAAAGGAAGGTCTTCCCTCTCTTCCTCCTTTCTTGCCTTCTGTAATTCAACTCAAGGAGGGGATTGTATCCTAGGCTTTCTTGTATCCCCAAGGGTTAGCCTAAGTCTCTGCTTTAGTAAGTGCTTGTTAATGCTGCTAGTGGCAGAACGCTTAAAGCCAGAGCTTGACTCTAACAGGGAAAAGAAGATTCAGTCTATAATGATGAGACTTTGAAGAGAGCCCTTCACAGCATCCCATGTATACAGCTCCTTGCCTGGTCATAATTTCACTCAAAGACACCATGGGATTGAGAGTCAGGGCCCATGGAACAGCCAGCTGCCAGTTTGGGGGACCAGAGAGGAATGGTGAAAAAAAAGCTTCTCATTTTAACCAAGAACTTTCCTACCTAGTATCTTCTTTCCTCCTCACCAGTACTCCTGAGGCAGGCATTGCATGGATCGACTACATTCTACATTTGCAGACACTGAAGCTAAACAGAACTGTGACTGGCCCAAGGTTCACACAGCAAATGAATCAGTGGCACAGCTGGGGCCAGAATCGGCAGCCAGATATTTTCCACAGCATGGATGATGTCCAAATGGAAAGGCTAAGATAAAGAATTTGTAGGGTTTCTCTGCCCAACCCAGAGCCTCTCCCCAGGGAACTGTGACCAGGCCTCTCAGGCCCTTCCACACAAACTCCTGTCTGAAGGGGAGCTGCAGTCACAGCAGGCCTGGCAGTATTGGGATGCTGCCTGAGACGACTTCCCTCCCTCCCTACTCTGCGCTTTCTGTGACCTACTTAAAGGCAGAGAAACCAGTGTAGAGGTTTGGGTCTCTCCTGAGTGGGCAGTACCTCTCACGAGTACTTCTTCCCAGGCACTTCTTCTAGCCTCTCTTCAGTGATGACAGCGTGAGGTGGGGAGAACAAATCAGGCTCCCCAGAGTCAGAAAAGAGCCAAGTCAGGGCCTCCCTGGAAGGCAGGCTGAGGAGGAGGTGGCAGCTCCCCGCCCTGCACCCCCTCCAAGATCTGGATGTTTTCCATAAGGGCCCCATCTCTTCACTGCAACCTCCACCAGAGATCCAGGATAAAATGGAAATATGGAAATGCAAATGCTGCTTGGGAGGGGGAATATCAGATCCCATTTGCTTGGATTAGTTCATCCATTTGCAGGTTGCCAACTTGGAAAGCAGAGAGGAGCTCGGATGCCAAGGCTGTTTGAGTGCGGTAGGAGGGAAGGGGTTGGGGTCGCAGCGGGGCCTCATAAGCAGCCAGCTTTTCAATCAGCAAGTCACTGGGTCATTCCTTACTGAGCGCCTGCCCTGTATCTGGCTCCATGCTATGTCCCAGGGGCCT